CTCTCTCTCTCTCTCTCTCTCTCTCTCCTTATATAATAGCCAACACACAACACAACTACTGGTATTTAGGGAGTGATACACATTTGGCATGAAATAAATTATATCTATCTCTTTGTTCACTAATACTGTATAATGGGTTAGCGTTTTTCGCTACGAGTATTATGCACTGGTATATTAACGGTGGCTTTAGTGTGCCCCACAAAAAATTAAATAAATGACCATATTTTTCAAAACAGATTAAAGAATTACCATCAGGCATCGCAGGTAACCCATGCACTAACCTTCTAGGTAACATCTAGGGTGTACACACCCACCCCTTGCCAAATAAATAATAAATACCAACCCATCGCTTTGGCCTCGCTATTGATAATGTGTATATTAATGTCTATGCCATTTATCACAACCAATGTTAAACCTATGGGTACAGTGCAAACACTGGTGTGTATAATATCCGTTGTTTTATGATAATCTCATATATACTGTATATACTGTAAAATGCAACTGACATTTATCTAGAAGTCTATGGGTGAGCCCTTACAAATGTTACGATGGTTAAATTATTTATATACAATATAGTAAAACTGGATTATTTTTAAAATGCATCAATTTTCACGCAAACATGCTTATTGTTGCGCCGATTTATCGATATAAATACATGGTATTTAATAAATACCATAATAAATACTATTTATACACAATCAGATCCACTACAGTAACTATATTTTGTATATTATTTTGGATATTAATCTATGTATAGCCCGAAAAAAATTGTATCACTCCTTAAATATCGAGATTTATTTAATTTATGTAATATATATTTTTAATATTATTGATACGCTATGTATTTATTAACTACAAATGTTTATCAAAACAATATTTATAACACATTCCAGCAATTGATTAATGTATTTATTAAATCACATAAAGTATTATTATTTATATTGTAAATAGTATTTTAATAAATTATATTTGTCAACATAACTATAATAATTGCATTTATATTAAACATTGATGGGATTTTATTTGGTTTATTATTTAACATATATTTTGCAAAGTTTTAAACAATAAAATTTAAAAGTAAAAAAGTCACTTAAAATAATTTTTACCACATGCTCTTGACATTGAAATGTCAGTATATATTATATAATATGCAAAATATATGTAACACATAATTGATAGGTAGGCGAGCGAGAGAGGGAGAGAGAGAGAGAGAGAGAGAGAGAGAGCCTCATATAAAGTATCTCAAAATTAAGTGCAAATTATTTCAATGGAAAATCAGTTTTACATTTCAAGAAATCTTTGTCTCATTTCTTTAGTTATAATTTTTTGGTCGTTTTCATATGCAAAACATATGCCTCTTATACAGGTATACACTATGTAATAAATATTGTGTAACATATAATTATTGGGCATTTTGTTGGATATTATTATCATTCATATTAATAAATTAAATAATAGAAACACATGTTTTGGTCTCTCTCTCTCTCTCTCTCTCTCTCTCGCTCTCTCTCTCATTATCTAAAAGATTTATAAAAATCATTGTTTGATATACAAGTATGATATTCCATGTAACTGGAAATGTTTAATTACTTGTATGTAATGTACATAATATTTATTTTATTTAATAAGTAATTTGCTATGATCAAATTGAAAAACATTGTAACAAAGTTAATAATTATAACGACAAAAATCGAGCTACAGTACTTTCATTGCCATTATTGTCAAAATACAATAACAAAAAAACTTTGTTAATTTAAAAACTATTGTTATATATTTAGTGTAATAACATGGTTAACATAGTGCATATTTATACCAAGTCTATTGTGTGTTTAATATGGTGCATGGTAATATGCGTGCAAACTGTTAGGCCATTTCAGTGTCACCATAATGTACTGGATAGCCATCACAATGAGGTGGACTTTATCACCTTGGTCAATTTTACAAACGCCATGTGCGCTAGATGTTACTGGTATATATCGGACGCTGAAAACGCCTGGGCTAATGATTCAATAGTGACCAAGACCATTGAACTAACTTATTGGCCCGATGTCGGAATAAGATTTATTATAAATAATCAATTTAGGACTTACCCGTTTACTTATGCTGCTTTGAATGCGACCGATTGGGAAAATGATTTCTTCCTAAAAAATTTTGAGAATGAATTTTATATGGTAAGTTAAATTATTTATTACTAACAAGGTTCTTTACATTGTATACATCTATATTATATATTGTAATAAATTACAATTGATTTAGGCTAAAAGAAAACAAGGTAAACCTATTATAATATTAACACTAGACGATCAATTCCCAATACTATAAGTGAATTATTTGTGAAATATAATAAATTGAACTTTTATAACTTTATTACAGTTGCTTTATGTTTTTTTACATAATTTATTATGTATTGTTAATGCATTAAAAAATAATTTACACCCTTATTATTTAAGTCTGTATAATTTGCAAATATTATTATTCAACCAAAATAAAGTCCTAGTAAGATTTATTACCAAATAAACTAACGTATAACAATTACGTACAGCAACAATAAAAAGCTATGTTTACTAATACAGTCTAATAAAGTACTAATAAACTGTGAAGTTTATACAAAGTCTGTTTTAAAAAATCAACTCAATTAAACAAAATACACAACAACATGATATATCACATTTAAAATATAACAAACTAACCATGATCATTACTATCTGTCAGAACACATTCATGGACTGTTGCAAAGACGCAAAAAAGTGTTGCGAAAAACAAATAATAATAGCCGAAGAAGAGGACGACGACGAAAAGGACAACACTGTCGGACACTACGGGCGGCCCAACACGTGTCCGACCAAATGGGACGGATGGATGTGCTGGGACTCGGCCGCAGCCGACTCGACGCACAAACAAAAGTGTCCGGCTATGTCGCACGCGGCCCTGGGCTACGAGCCTACCCCGTGCGCCAAAGAGAGTGCCACGAAAAAGTGCCTAGCCAACGGCACCTGGGCCACCAAGTGGGTGGAAAAAGTGTACGAACAACCCGAGCATGGTTACTACCCCGATGATGACACTTTTTACGAGTATTGCACGTACCCGAAGGCCCATGAAGAGTTGCGCCAGGCTAGAGTGTCCACCTATGTTTTTATATTGTCCCTGGTGCTGTGTTGCGCCGGTGTGGCCGTGTTTGTGTTTTATGAGCAACATAAAATTTTGCGCGTTCAGATTCATATGAATTTTATTGGCTCGATTATTTTGACCTGTGTGTTTTCGATCATGTTCAATTATCTGCTCCGTGAGGCACATTTTAGCCGCTCGGAAGTTATACAACACAAGTGAGTTATTAATATATATTTTATGTTTGTAAAAAATGCTCTATATAAACTATACAGTATTTAAACTATTATTTAGAACTATTCTTCCAATTATTATTTATTTTATTAGCTAGAAAATATAATTTTTATTAATTGCATATAGTTTAGTAGCCTGCACATTACAACTGTTATAGCCTATGACTCATAGAGTTCACATTAGAGTTGCGGGTGAAAAGCCCTGTCTTAGTTCATAATGTATTTCTATCACATTTATACAATCACACATACAATTATACTAGTATTTAAAAAATGTTTGCATATTACCTAGCCCAAAATGGTGTCGCGCCCTGGTCATATTCTACAAGTTTTCGCACATAAGCAATTTTTGTTGGATGCTAAACGAGGCGGCGTACCTGCACCGGCGCATTGTGCTCAGTTTCGCCGAGGAGAGACACCCCCTGTATTATTACCTGTTTGGTTGGGGCGCACCACTGCTAGTGATGGTGCCCTATGTTATAGTGCACGCTCTGGACGAGTACGACACCAATTGTTGGACCAAACCCATGCTCTATCCCGAATTGATCTACGACATTTTGCCCATCACGTGCATCGTGGTAAGTGTTTTGTAGCACGTTAAATACATTAGTAATTGGTTTGTAATTTGTCAACTGTAAATTTATAATTAACACAATTTATCTATGTAAATATTCTTAAAGTATTAGTATTATCGGTAAGAGCCATAGGAACGATGTTCGAGTTAAATATTTTGTACCACTATACACCTACATATTTCAAAGGGTAACCATTTCAAAGTTACCCCACTTGGTAATATTTTTAGCAAGGAATTTTTTAAATAAAAATAGAGCACCTCGTTGCTCTACTAAACGCAAACACAAATTAAATTTTACATATATTAGATATAAAGATAATACATTTAAATACATTAGATAATAGTTTTATATTTAAAATATTGAATAAATTTTAATTAGTATATATTTTTGATTAGTTAAACGCCATGCTACTATTTAACGTGGTACGAGTGCTGATGACCAAGCTTCGTTCGTCACCTGACCATTTCAGGGCCGGTCTCAGGGCCTCACTGATACTGTTACCCGTGTTTGGCATACAGTATACATTTTACATCGTTGATTTTGATCCATTTGACTCGTGCACTACCGGCGTGTTTGTCGCCAAATATTGCCAGATTGTGATAGAGGCCATACAGGGAGCCATTGTTACCACGATATTCTGTTTTCTTAATGGCGAGGTATGTGTATAGATTTATTTTTAATTTAACCGTGGTTAAGTTTATTAATTTTTGTTCCACTCAAACATAAAATGATAAATTATTATCATATTTTACTTCATGCAAAGTTATTATTTAATTCTATGATTATATTATTATAAAAGTAAAACAATTATTGTAGTAATTATGATTATTTTTAAGTAATATGATTAATAATTAATGTTGCCAACCACCAGGTACACATACATGTAAGAAGGACCATGAACAAATTGGTACCCAAGAGCAGTATTATGCTTACGGAGCAACAGGAACTGGAAAAGACCACTTCGTAAATACACCATAGTGACGTTATAATGCACCATGGTCGAGTTATTTAATTAATTTTATAAATAATTGATTACAAATAATAAGAATAACAATACTAGTATCTTAATAATACTGTACTTTCAATGAACGCATGTTTAATACACTTGAGATAAGTCATGGGAAAATATTTTTGTGTTTATTTTTATCATTAACTGTAAGATAACTGTAGTTATAAACCCCTATTGGGACAGAAAATTGAGTATATTTTGAGTGAGTGAGAGAGAGAGAGAGAGAGAGAGAGAGAGATGAGAGAGAGATTTTAAAAAGTTATTTTTCTTATGTCTAGTGTCTATAAAATTGTTTTAATTTGTAATACAAATGCAAAACGTATTGTAAAAACAATTAGAGAGAGAGAGAGAGAGAGAGAGAGAGAGAGAGGAAATTGAATTGAGGATTAATAAGTTAGAAACTGTAATTATAAAACAATGCTAACTGTGTGCTATTGAAATATTAACTTGATATATTTATTTGTGGCACTAAATTACTTTAATTTTTATAAAAGTATGCAAAGGTTTAGTAGCAATAGCAAAAATGTAGCAAAAGCCCAACACTTGTTACCGTAAAGTTATTCACATACAGTATTAATATAAACCAGGTACATCCACAGATAGCATTCAGATAGCACTAATGCATTAAAACTAATGTAAAGTCTATGGGTGTATATAGGCAAAGCCTACTTTTGGCTGTTAATGATATAAACTTTATATTATAAAGGCATTACAACACACATTAAATTAAATCAATAATTAAATTATAAATTAAACTTATATATTTGATACACATAATTTTTATCACAGTTTAGTTTAAAAAACTATATAGTCAAACAATAAATAATTCATTACTTCAAAATATTTAACAAATTTAATTTAATAATTTTACCAGAGATTGGCGCGAATGAGGCAAACCCTACGGCGCCGGGACTCGAACTCGGACTCCGACTGCGAGAGAAATGGAGAGAGAGAGAGAGAGAGAGAGAGAGAGAGAGNATTAAATTTTGTTTTGTTTTCTTTCAGACTATTTGCGCAAAAGATTTGCTTTAATTAGAGAGAGAGAGAGAGAGAGAGAGAGAGAGAAGGATTATATAATGTATGTAATAAAATAATTACAAGCATATAATTAAATACAAAAACTTTGTTCATTATATCGGGGGTTAACTAAATAATAAATATTTTATTTTAAATGTTATTCAAAACTTTTCTTAGAAATACAAAACATTAAAAAAAAATTCTAAGAAATCAATTAAAATACTGTATTATATAATCATTTAAATATAATTATTAATTATTATACACAGAATTAATGCTAAATTCACCACCATTATTTTCATGTTGCTATAATTTGCATATAATATAAGCATTCACGGGATGTGTGTATAAAATAAACAAATTTCACTCATCCCTCATAGGAAAAGTGCAGACCTGTCCGCCAGACAATGTATAATTAATAACCGATAAATTATTTAATTAGCAATGGGGCCGCTGAATTACCAGGAATAGGCATGGTAGTTTTCATGCTAAATAATAAACACCATTTCAACCATAATTTTTGCATATATTTATTATTCAGGAATATTCTCGGAAAGAGAGAGAGAGAGAGAGAGAGAGAGAGAGAGAGAACAGGGATGTGGGGATGAGTGACACGAATCCATGGTTTTTCTTATCAGTTATACTTATATTTAGTATTAATTATATCAATATTATACGTACATGAGAGAGAGAGAGAGAGAGAGAGAGAGAGAGAGAATGGGAGAGACGGGAGAAGATGATAAGAAAGACACATAAAATGCATAACGTTTTCAATGTAATTGATTTGTTATTTACACACAAATCTCTGGTAGAGAGAGAGAGAGAGAGAGAGAGAGAGAGAGAGAGAGACTTAAGAAAAAAGGAAAAGTAAGAATTCATTACATATTATGCAAGAAAATCCAATAAAAATGCCAATTTTCAAGGACTACCTGTCCCCTGTCGTGAGCGCACACGTTCACTACAGTTGTCACCCCATATAATAACCTAGGTGTTAACTAACATGTATAAAATGGTAGCATTATTAAGTATTTTATAAAAATCTTTACAGATTTTAGTTAAATTAATATTCAATAAGAAAATGTACAAAATATTGTTAATATTTCACTTATTATTGTATGTAATATATAATAGACTTTATGTGTTTGAAAACATATTGGTTGGGAGGGGAGAGAAAACATAGGTATGTTTGACTGACTGATATAGTCTATCGATATGTAATACTGAAACCGGGAGACAATTATCTAATATTCATGTTAAGTATTAATAAATCATATAATGTATGGACAAAAAGCAAATAAAACTAACCAATATATTATACTAAATAATGATTTATACAATAATACCAATATTATGGACAATACAGTGAACTCCCTATATAATAAACAAAATATCTGTATACCATGTTGTTTTTAAGTGTAAATATCAAAATAAATCCGTGAATATTGATTTATAAGTGTACATAAAATTTAGTTTAATAAATCAATTAGCGTGATTTAATATGATCGTACACTATATTCAATATGTATGGATGTAAATATGCAAGGAATTTATGAATAAATGTATTTAAATTACCATCGGCATTTACTGATAGACACACGAAAAGCATTTATACATATATGGGATATAAAAATAAGATATATGTAACTTTTTTGAAACAAATTTAAATTCTTTACAAAGTATGAAATGAAAAATATCAGCAATTATTTTATTTGTCAAATATATTCGTGCCTTAAATGGGAATTAATGGCACAAAATATTAGCGATATATACAGTATTTATACATTTATATAGTGTATAAAAAACTAAATATATTTCTATAAATTCCCAGAAAATTATTATCACGTTTATGTGAATAAATTATTAGAATCTGATATGTATTTAAATTAGAGTTTGAAAAATATTTTTTCAGAGAGAGAGAGAGAGAGAGAGAGAGAGAGAGAGAGAGAACAGGGATGTGGGGATGAGTGACACGAATCCATGGTTTTTCTTATCAGTTATACTTATATTTAGTATTAATTATATCAATATTATACGTACAGTAAAGTACACGTTATAATGAACACATATAAACATGAATTATAAATGCTAGCTGGGACATGTTACAATAATAATATGCTAATATTGTTAATTATATTTAATTGAGCTAGATATAGTATATTGTTAATTGAAATGTAAAATTAATATAATTATTGAAATATTTGATAGATTACCAATCTGTAATTTATAACGTGTGTCGAGTGTATATATAAACGATCATGCTATGATATTTCAAATGTCATAATATTGTCAATTTGTAGTTCACAGGTGTGTCGGATAGCAATATCAAAAACAAAAATACCACGGTTAAAACTATTTATAATTAATATATAGCTGGCATAAATGTTTTAGTAAAGTGATCAAGATTAAAACACACACACACACACGGAGACAAACTAAAAAATATGACGATAAAAATGAATAATTATTTTTAATTTATATCTTAATTGCCATTTGATGTGCGGACGAGAGTTTAAATGAAAATTTAAAAAAAATCATAAAACTATTAACATTTTTAAAAATTCAATTTTGGGCACAAATCATACGCTTTTATGCGATATTAATGGACAACAATTTCTACATTAATGCTTTGATTGACTTATTTTAACATTCAAAACGACTCTCTCTCTCTCTCTCTCTCTCTCTCTCTCTCTCTCTAATTAAAGCAAATCTTTTGCGCAAATAGTCTGAAAGAAAACAAAACAAAATTTAATTTTATTTTAGTTTTCTCTAAAAACAAACTTTCATTACTAAAAAAAATAATTTAATTTTTGGTTCACTGATAGAAATGTTGGGAAAAAATCGGTGGGAAGTGTAGATCCTTTTCGTTATCTATCTTTCCCTCTCTCAACATATAATATACGCTATATTTTGTTATTATTATTAATAATATTAAAGTAAATTTAAAGTAGTAAATTATAAAATGAGTGAATGAATGGTCAGTTTATGCACTGTATATGCAGTGTATTTATTCAAGGCATGACTCACGCATTTTACCATCAATTTACTTCATCCCTAACCATCTTTACTATCTTATGCTCTCTCTCTCTCTCTCTCTCTCTCTCTCTCTCTCTCTTTCTCTCTCTCTCCATAAAAATACATATATTTTTGTATACATTAGATGTGCAGCTCTTAACAAATGATTTCCAATGATTTTCTATGCACTTTATATATCCTACAAAATGCTGTGTTTAGTGTATTATACATAACATTATATAAGACTCTAACATACCTGAGACTGATATCCAAATGGTTTTTTCTTAGAGTGTTTAATGTGTTTATAATTTTGTTTTAAAAAGAGTTTTTATTGTCAGTAAAAAATATGTTTTAGAAATTTAATGAAGTTTTAAGAGAGGGATAGAAACTTATAGAGACTATTAAGGAGTGAGAGATTGAATTCAACGATAAGGAAGAGCAGAGAGAGAGAGAGAGAGAGAGAGAGAGAGAGAGAGATCACCAGTAGTAATGGCTATAATGAGGGGCCAAAGAATAGGACCATTCATTAGGGGCTTTCATTTGCAACATTATATTACAATAGGGTAAAAGATATTTGCAAATCTCTCTCTCTCTCTCTCTCTCTCTCTCTCTCTCTCTCTTATATGTATTTTCAAGATTTTAATACATAATATAAATGGGAGGCGAGAGAGTGAAGAAGCCATTAGATAGTAAATCATGGAAATAATATATACACCGCTGTATATAATGATAACCGGCTGTACGTAAAGGTATAGCGATGTGAAAGTGATGATTGCCATCACAATAGCCGTTACCATCATATCTATTGTATATATACTGCACTTATAGTTAAGGTAGAAACTAATTTAATTAATACAATGCACTGGCGGTAAGGCTGGCCAACAGGCAAATACACACCACCAAAAATCAACCAAGCATCCTTGACGTTAGCATAAAATATTGCATTTTCGCCATTACTTCATAATATTCTGGTTATAATGTGTTTAGGTTTGAAATTTATTGTTTATAATTAATATTAATATTGTTTGGTTCACGAATTTTGGTGTTTGGCTTTACCATAAAGGATATACATAAATAGGTTTAACATTTTGAATTTAAGCTTGGTAAAATGTACGCGTTTACTATAAACAGTGTTTACTGTATGTGTGTCTGTATATAACATTTGAAATTAAATTAATGTGTCGGTGTATTTGTTAATAGCCGTCTCTCTCTCTCTCTCTCTCTCTCTAATTGTTTTTACAATACGTTTTGCATTTGTATTACAAATTAAAACAATTTTATAGACACTAGACATAAGAAAAATAACTTTTTAAAATCTCTCTCTCTCTCTCTCTCTCTCCTTTTGAGACTAAATGTATAAATTCGTGAAAATAACTAATAATAAGTATTTTTGTATTTTTGAATCCAATTTACATAATAACCAATATATAAGTTATATCATGTATTATAATATTATGGTATTTTCTATAAATTATTAACATAAATATTAGAGTACATTATGCTTGGGATTCACTATATATAGTATTATCTGATAATAAAAAGCAATTTTCAATGAATGGTTTGAGTATTTAGATAATTATAACCAATGAATAGATACTGTCGGTGGAAATGATTTGTAAAAAATAATATATGATTTAAAAATACAAATAAAAGCAATTTTA